CCCCACCCCCGCCGCCCCCGGGGCCGGTCCGCGGTGCTCCGGGGGGAGGGAGCCGCGATCTGTTGCTGAAGGGTTTTCTTTTTCTCTCTCTGTGTGTGACATGCCGGAATCAAACCGCTCAGGGCAGCTCCTGCCCCCGGACTTTCCTGCTTTACGGGGAAAAAAAAAAAAAGTTTGAAACTGTAGAAATCCCAATGTGAACGCTTGCTTTCCAGCAGGAAAAGTTCTGGGTTTTCATTTTAAACGATCATTAGTTTGAAACAAATTAATTTATTACATAGCTTTTTTTGTTTTCACCTTTCTATTTATATACTTTTTAAGAACCGATAATTTGCCTTCCCTTACTTGGTTTGGGAAACTCTAAAAACCTTCACTCTGTGCTCTCTCTTGGATGAGAAAAACTTATTTTCTTATATGGCACTGGAAATAATGTTTTCCCTGAACATCCACTGAAAGAAGGTGAGTGGATTCTACCAAGAATCCACTTGAAAGAGAAAGAATTTTTGGCTACAAAATCTAAAACTAAGGCTTTTTTTTTTGGAGGAGGAGGGAGCATCTTTTGCCTCGTGCCTGCAGCGCAGCAGGTACTTCAGAGCTGCTGCCAGAAGTTGAAGTGCTGCAACTGTGCTGCTCCCAAAACCCCACCATGCTGGGCCATTCCTGGGAGCAGCTCCCTGGGTGCTATCACCCAGAGAGGGTGGAAATACTCCAAGAGTATCCTGAATTTATCTAGTCCTTACTTGGTGAGCGTCAGGGCCAGCACAAAGTTAGGGAGGGGAGTGGAGAAAGGAGGGGAGGACCACTCCTTTTGCTGGCAGCCCCTAAGGAGGTGGGTGTAAAGCAGTACTGCAAACAAAGCTGGGGTGGCTTCTGGTGGCTGGGCAGAAAATCTGTGCCAGAGCGGAGGATGGATCCTGGCCCTACAGGCTCACAACTGGATGGGGGCTGTTCTTTGTCCGAGCGGGACTCCCGCTGAGCACGGCCGCCTTTCTTCCCTTCCCCATCTCCCTAAACGACAACAGCCACGCGGGCTGGTTCCCCTTGGAGGTTTGAAACAACTGAAATTCCATTAAGGTCAAGCGACCTCTAGGAGACAAGTGTTAAATGTTGGGTCCTTGCCCTGTCCCCGTGGAACACGTGCTGGGCTGCTCGGTGTGTTGGGGGTGTTCTCACAGCCTGTCCCCTTTCTCTAGGCTCGCATGGAGGTAGATGCTGATGGAAATGGTGCTAAAATATTTGCTTATGCCTTCGACAAAAATCGTGGAAGGGGATCCGGCCGTCTCCTGCACGAGCTGCTTTGGTAGGTATCGTAAGGAGAGCTGAAGAGGAGGCTGAGGGGAGACCTCATCACTCTCTACAACTACTTGAAAGGACACTGTAGAGAGGTTGGTGCTGGTCTCTTCTCACAGGTAATTAGTGACAGAACGAGAGGGAACGGCTTCAAGCTCCAACAGGGGAGGTTTAGATTGAACATTAGGAAGGAATTTTTCACCGAAAGAGTGGTCGGGCATTGGAACAGGCTGCCCAGGGAGGGGGTGGAGTCCCCATCCCTGGCTGTGTTTAAGGGCCGTTTAGATGAGGGACATGGTGTAGGGGAGGACTTTGTAGAGTAGGGGAGATGGTTGGACTCGATGATCCCAAGGGTCTCTTCCAACCTCAATGATTCTATGATTCTATGAATGCTTTGAGGGTTCACTGAGGTGGACTTGGCTGCCACCAACTTGTAGGGAGTTTATTTCTTGGTCTGTAGTGTTTTGACTCTTCTCGGGAGGCTTGCAGCTACGCTCAGGTGGGAACCCAGCACCAGGAGTGCCCATGGATCTTATTATGGTTTGGTTTTGCACCGAGCCTTCTTCAAACAGCTGAGTCTTTGTAACAATGTCACATGCAGGGAAAGCAGCGATAGGGGACTAATATTCAAGTAGACACTGTTTAAATCTGAGAAATGCTACTAAAACTTCAGTTGGGGTGAGGGGAGCAGGGAACTGACTCTATTTAATAGGTGAAGACTAACCTTTCGAGGTTGGTTTTTTTGTCGCATAATAATCAGGTCCATCTCACTGGCACCAGTGAGAATTGGCAGAGCACTGGAGAGAGAGAACCTCTGATAACCTAAAACTTTGTGGTTTCTTCTTTGACCTTCTGAAAAGCTGCCTGAAGTGATGCTGATGATGCTTTGTATAAGCTGCTGCTGTGTCTCATTTCCCATAGTCTGAGAGTCATTGCTTGATATCCTTGGTAGCTGCCGGTTTAGATTCAGAGGCCACCTTGTTGGGGGAGGTTAGTTCATCCGGTGAGCTGATACCTTGCTCTTTCTAGATGTGTTCATGGGCCCGTAGAAAAGATGGGGTGTGCTAAAGAGAGCTCCAAAGAAGGTTATTTCTTTTAAAAGCCTTTTTTTGAGAAATTAAGCATGTTTTCTATTCATTTCCATAACCTATACTTGTAAGTCGCGGTGCCCAAGGTACAGCTGTGCTTTTTCTTTTGTTCCAGGTTACTTTTTTCCTCCCCAAATAGTCTCTGTACAAGAGGAAGGAGACAGGATGAATATCAGAGGCTATTATTTTTATTTACAATCTGCTCATTAAATATGGATTTTAACCTGTGCCTGTTAATATTTAACCTTGTTGCACATGTAACTTTGGTGAAAATTATTACCAAGTTGGCTACGGCGTGTGCAGTAAATCCCTGTGAGCTGCTGCTGGCTGTGAACCTCCTGCAGGAACCATTGTTGTCTGCAAGTAGCACTAAACAGCACCTTCAGATTATTGCAGCCGACTGTTCCAGCTGAGGGCTGTGTAGATGATGACAGTCCAGCTGTTTGCTTATTGCACAGCCCAGTTATTGCCTCTCCTGGTTTGTTTTACTTAATTTAGGAAATTGAAGTAAGAATTCTGACATATTCAGTTGGGTGATGCAAATCGTGTCACTGTAGCACGTGCTGGTGTTAAACAGGCTGAGAGAGTACATATCATGGGGATTTTTGAGAGTCTCAAAGGCAGGGGGGGTGTAAGCTGCCAGGCAAGCGGGGCTGCAGTTCTGAAGTTGCCAAGTCAAACTCTACCACTGGAAAATACAAAGTATTTCGGATGTTTCTGTAAAGTCAGTTTGGTCCCTCTGAGGGTATAGGTTCTGCTGTGATCTCTGATGACAAGCTAACGCAGCGCAGGTCAGTATCTGTCCTGACTGAGTCTCCTGAGTCTGTAGAAAGTCTTTTGGCTACAGATGCGAATCCGTTCCTGCCTCCCCCAGACCAGCCACGCTGGTCAGTTCTACTCACCTGCACTGGGGGCTGCTTTGAAAACAAACCAGAAATGTACTTTAGTGGCAGGTCCTTCCCTTGGCGAGAACGAGTAACACTGAGGGGTTTGGAGTCTTTAAAAGACAGGAGAGATGGGCAGTCGTGGTCACTGCTCTTTCCAGCGCCAGCCTTGCTGCTTGGGTAAATTCAAATCGAAGAACTTGAATTATTGCAGGTGGAGGTGTGTCATTTAACTATTGTCCCCCCAAAAAAATCAGTTCACTTAGAAAAAACTAACCTGATTGTGCACTTCTGGTTTAAGCTAGAGTGAGCAGCATTTAGCTGCTAGCATCTAGCTGCTCATCCATAAAAGGCAAACAAATGGAAAAAAAAAATATATAAAGCAAATTTAATATATTTTTTTAAATTTTTATTTCTTTTTTTTAATGTAGTTAGGCTAGGCATGTGCTGGATGCTATTGCAAGGTTTTTATCAGCATTTAGCTGCTAGCATCTAGCTGCTCATCCATGTGCTGGATGCTATTGCAAGGTTTTTATATATAAAGCAAATTTAATATATTTTTTTAAATTTTTATTTCTTTTTTTTAATGTAGTTAGGCAGGTATCTTTGCTGAGGTAGTGAGACTCTCAGAATAAGCAGCTGGTGGCTCCCAAAGCTGCAGCAGTGACAGGGACCTTCTCCTCCTGAGCCCTGCAGAGCCTGAACTGCGGTACTAAATGGGAACCAAGATCTGAAAAATACCCACACATGTGGCAAATACTCTTTCAGGAAGAACTTCCTGCAGGCTCTGCTGTGGCTCCAGGATGGACTGTTGGCTCCTCCAAAGCAGGATCTGGATGTCTCTGGCTGGGGACCTGCAGAATAAGTCTGTCGTCTTCTCGCCCTGTTCCCGGTATAGAAATCCCAGCTTGCTGTATTTTGGCTGGGTGCAGTGATGTTCCCCGGGGAATAGCAGCATCAGGAGATTAGTCATAAGTATCACTAACTGTGTGCTCAAAAAGACATCTAAGACCTGATTTCTTTCTCTTTTTTTTTTTTTTTTAGCACTTACCATCATACTGCCTAAAACCCCCTCAGTTACGGCTCCAGTTGACTGGAGTTGCTGTTGTCTGTATTTGGCACTTCTGTTACGGGCCTCGGTTCTTAAGTTGGCTGCTGAAATATGAAAAGAGCAGTATCTAGTTAATGTTCTGAAAAGTTTCAAGTGTTTTGTCTGGCATCTTGTAGGAGCTCGGGTGTGCTGGGGGAGGTAGAAGCTCCAGCTCTGCGGGAGAGCTGGCTGCGCTACTGAGGCTGTTTCTTCCCTGTCCCCTTCTGCACAGGTTCCTCCATGGGCCTGTCCTTCACATTTCTGATTAACTTCTGGAGAGGAGGAGTGCCTGAGTGGGCATTCAGATGTCACTTGATTATGTATGGAGAGAAGGGACTGTCCTGGATTTGTGAGTGCTAATTCTGGCGTCTCAGCCAAGGGGCGTTGTGTTAACACTTTTACTGGTCATTAGCAAGGCCCCATTTCCACGTTTACTCCAAGACCTTTTTCACGAGAGGTAATAGAAAACCTGACAGCAACGTGGAGGAATGTGGGTTTTTACAAAGTGAGGAAGGTGGGCTCACTGTGGTGGTGGGTTTTATCAATATTTGCCTGTGGGAGGCTGTGGGTGCAGACCTAGACTTTGTAGGAGCAGTGGTGGGTGTGTGCCACTGCTGGGGCTTCCCACTGTCATCAACAATCTCTTGTAATCCTCTCTGGCTTTCCCCAGCTCCAGCCTTTCTTAAACTCTCACTATCTAGTCCATTTCCAAAACATTTCTTAACTTGGTCTTGGCCTCCCCTCCTCCCTTTCACCCCAGCACAGTTTGCTGTGAACTTCTCTCTCCTCCTCCCAGATTCCTCGCTCGTATCTGTCCCATCTCTCTTGTTGGCACTTTGTCCCAGGCCCACTCCGAGGACCTTAACTCCTTCCCTGTCTCTGTCTGACGTTCACCTCCCTCCGTTGGGGTCCGTGTACCTCCCGGCTTCCCGCTTGTAGCCTTCACAGTTCCCAGTTTCTTTTCCCAGACCCTCCAGTAGCCTTCGATGACTTGGAAAGTAGCTTTTCCAGCTTTAGGGCCTTTCAGTGGATTCTTTCCATAGTTTGCTTTAAAAGAAATATTTTATTCATTTTATCTTCAAAGCAGGGAGCTTCTCCTCCTTCTGGGGGGCCCCAAAAGGCTCCCTGACAGGAGGCTCCATGCTCTGTCCTCGTGCAGGGCTGTTACAGGAAGAATTGCTCTGCCTGTCAACAAGAGCATGGGGTGGTATCTAGACTCTCCAAGGGAACTGTACTCCTTAAATTCTAGGAAGTTTGGGGCATATGTGAATTGCAAGTAATTTTCTTTCCCCCAAGGTATATAATTTAACCATATCTGGATGAATTTCGACAGAGAAGACAAAAGACTACATTTTTCATTGTCGGTCGCATTGAAATGAATTTCCCTGTTCTGCTGGATAACACTAGAGCTTTGTAAAGGGGGGGGGGAAGTGGGGATTTTTTAACTGGGGCAAATAGTATCTCTTCAAAATTGGATGAGCATTTACTGAAATGTTCAGTAAACACTGAGCTGGAAGCAGCACCCAAAGGAGACTTGGGTGACGTTGTCAGTGGCTGTTGGAGCTGTCTTCTAGAAGGAGATGCTGGGTAACCCTCAGACAGTTGTACCTTGTCCTTGATGGCAGCCGGGGTGTTCTCTCTGGGCTGTGGGGTTAATCATGGCACAGCAAACACGCAGAGACACAATTCCTGCCCAAACTTTACGTTTCAGGTGGGACGGGGATTCCCGCAAGAAGCGACAGGGAAACATGTCCAGGCGTAAGGGTGCTTGACAGCGAACTTAATCCTTCATGAAATAGAGGAAGGAGGGGTGAAAGAGGGTGGAATGGGAAATGAAAACCACTAGAAGGCAATAGGGAGGAATTGCAGCAGGACTTAATGTGCAGCCATCCTCCTTGCTGACAGTCCTGCTGCGGTTTAGAGCGTGTTTCAGTCCATCGGGGTGTCACCGCAGGCTCTCTGTGTGTTACACACAATTAGAGTCTAAAAAGCATTTGCGTACTGGGTGGTGAAACCTCTGTCCTGTTGCTTGTGAAGAGACATTTCTTCATAAATAACAAACTCTGTGACTTCACCCCGGTGCCAAACAGGCATAAATGTGTCCGATAGAATTTCCTATTAAAATAACAAAGCAGTATTGCCTCCTTTCAAGTCTGCTCCACGGAATATAGTCATTACACAGGGGCTCTTGCAGTAACCAGAGTGGTAGTCTCTAGAACTCACTTTGCAATATTCTTACAATTAAAATATACCATGATTGTCTTTTGATTCAGCCCACCTATAATGGAAATAAGTCAGTCCCAGAAGAGACTTGTTCCAGGAGGTATATCCAAAGTAGCCACCAGAGTCTGTTGGCAACCCATGTTCTACTGCGGCTGTTTCAGCGACAGACAGCAGGCTCGAACGCAGCATGTTTTCTGGAATTAGTATGATTCTTTGCTTTTTTAGCTGTGGAGTCTTGTTCATTACTGACCTTCAGGTTGCTTTTTGTTTCCTCCAGGGAGAGACACCGGGGAGGGATTGCTCCTGGGTTTCAGGTGGTGCATCTGAATTCCGTGACAGTGGACAACCGCCTGGACAATCTGCGCCTGGTTCCTTGGGGGTGGAAACCCAAAGCTGAAGAAATCTCTAGTAAACAAAGGTATGGCAATATTCGGCAGGGGCTTGCCATTGAAAAAAATTGAAAAGATTTTAAATTGTTGCCTTCTTTAGGGATTTTCATCTTGGCAGAGCCTTTTTTATTTGACCTTGGCTACTTCACACATCGCTATGCGTCTTAGCTTCCTCCCCTGGGGAGCAGAGCTAATGCTGTTCGTGCTGGCTGGGAAGGGGCCATGGTGTTATTCTGTAGAGATCCTGCAGTGCCAGATGTTGTCACTGCAGTGGAGCAGGAAGCCTGTGCTCCCTTCCACTTGAGTAGTGGCATGAGGGCATGCTGAGTGAAGCCTGCAGATCTTGCTGGCTTGTGGCTCTTGTCCTCAGGCACCGAAATTGTAACACAACCTGTAGAAGCCAACAGTGGCAAAATGCTCACACTTGTAATCGTGTATCTGGGTTGAAACCAGAATGAGTTCCTGGGATCAGCTCCCATCTCCTTTCACTAGTAGGTTGTGGGAAGTTCCTACTCATTGTGTTGCACTCAAAGCACATCAAACTTGTAACGTTACATTTGGTTAATCTCTGATGTAGCACAGGCATGTTTGGTTTTGGTGGGAGAACCACAGACTTAACATCACCCAGGACACTTCTCTTGAAATGCTTGCAGCACCCACGAAATAGGGGTGTTTGGAGCTTGTTAGAGTGATTTTTGAGGAGATGTAGTGAATGGCAGTGGTGCTCCAGCAATTCTCCTAATGGTGCTGGGAGTTCAAGAACAAGAAACAGACTTCAAGCCAGTTACACAGAAATAGGTTTGCTGCTTGTAAGCGTTTATAGATAGATACTTTTAAACTTTCTTTGCATTTGGGCTCAAATAACCCTAAAAATATCCATTATATGAAGTGTATGTATAGCCTGAGGCTTAACAGGCTAAATACAATGTTAACTCTACTTACTTTATTAATACATTTGGAATGGGTTTCCTTGTATGCTTGTTATGAATTTACGGACCAAATTTGTACTTGTTTTTTTTTTGCAGGGAACAAAGTCTGTACTGGCTGGCGATCCAGCAGCTCCCTACAGATCCTATAGAAGAGCAGTTTCCTGTGCTGAATGTAACGCGCTATTACAACGCTAACGGGGACGTTGTGGAGGAGGAGGAGAACTCATGCACATACTATGAATGTCACTACCCCCCGTGCACAATGATCGAAAAACAGGTGTGTTTGGGGGAGCTGGACGTCCGTGTGTAATGGCTCGGGCTACGCTGTGTGGCCAGGGCTTTATTCCTTCAAATGTGAAGCTTTACACCTGCCATTCAGTTGCTAAAAGCACTAATTCTTTTTAAGTTGGGTTTTCTTTGATATGAATCTTCAGTCCCTGTGATGATTTTCAGTTTGAGAGAATGTAGTTCAGAACTGGAACAAGAAATGACCTACTGGTTTATTGGGAGGAGTGTGATTTCTGCAAAGTGTAGGAAAGCCAGGTGGAAGCGTTCCCCCAGAGAGTCCGAGCTGGAATGAGAGAGCAGCTGTGTAGGACAGGAGAAAGCATTGTAAGGGGTTTTGGGCAGAGGTGGAATCAAAAAATGCTTGACCTTTCCTGAGAAGAGGGTGAATTTGAGTGGCTTTTATTTAGGGGAGAACTGTGGGGAAAGGTGGTGCTAGTTCTTTGCTGTAGGTAGGTGAAACAAAGCAACACCCATCCTCGGAGAATAAGACATCCAGGGCTGTGCCTCTGTCAGATGTTCTTACCTGGGAATAAAAAGGGCTTTTCTTGCCATAACAAATGCTGAGTAGGCTAAAATCATTGTGTTCCACTTTTTCCTTTGGGAAAAGAAATGTTTGCAAAAATGATCTTAAATGCCCTCTGTTTGATAAAGAGTGAGCTTTACCTTTTATTTGGGTCTGCACATGAGAGCTTCCTGCATAACCATGACTTTGGTGGTGCAGCCCTCCTCCTCATTGCCGAATTTAAGATGTTAGTAGCTGAAAACAGAGCTTCAGTTGGCAAAACAGCAGCAGTGCGAGAACAAATGTCAGGTGCTTGAATATTTTATCTTTTAAGTCAATAATATGACTTTCCAAGAGCAGCTGCAAAATCAACGAGTGCGTTGAGTTTCAATGAGAACAAATGTCAGGCGCTTGAATATTTTATCTTTTAAGTCAATATGACTTTCCAAGAGCAACTGCAAAATCAACGAGTGCGTTGAGTTTCAACAAGGGCAAGTGCCAGGTCCTGCACTTGGGCCACACCAACCCCCTGCAGCACTACAGGCTGGGGGCAGTGTGGCTGGAGCTGCCTGGAGGGAAGAGACCTGGGGGTTCTAATTGACAAACGGCTGAATATGAGCCGGCCGTGTGCCCAGGGGGGCAAGAAAGCCAATGGCATCCTGGCTTGTATTAGAAATACCATGACCAGCAGAAGTAGGGAGGTGATTGTGCCCCTGTACTCAGCACTGGTGAGGCCACACCTGGAGTATTGTGTCCAGTTTTGGGCACCTCAATCCAAGAGAGATCTCGAGGGGAGGTTTAGATTGAACATTAGGAAGGAATTTTTCACCCAAAGAGTGGTCGGGCATTGGAACAGGCTGCCCAGGGAGGGGGTGGAGTCCCCATCCCTGGCTGTGTTTAAGGGCCGTTTAGATGCAGTGCTGAGGGACATGGTGTAGGGGAGGACTTTGTAGAGTGGGGTAGATGGTTGGACTCGATGATCCCAAGGGTCTCTTCCAACCTCTATGATTCTATGATTACTCCAAACCCTTCTGATAGTCTGATGCTGCTGGTGGGGTCTGCCCATTTGTGATGGGTGCAAAAGTCGGGATGGTACAGCAAGTTGGGGAGTGATGTCTGGGCACCCCTTGGCCCTGAGCAGGCTCGTTAACGCTGTCTTGTGTTCTTCCTAGTTACGTGAATTCAACATCTGTGGCCGATGCCAGGTAGCGAGGTACTGTGGGTCCCAATGCCAGCAGAAGGACTGGCCTGCTCACAAGAAACACTGTCGGGAGAAGAAACGGACCTTCCAGCAAGAGCTTGGGCCAGAACGATGACCGGGTGGCAGAGGCCTCTCAGCAGCAGGATTCCTTCTCAAAGGCATTGGACTCTTGCTTTTGCACAGTAATGACAGACTGCTTAGTGAAGCCAGAGGCACTGAAGAAGAAAAAAAACAAACCCTGTGATGCTTGAGCAGAACGGCTGACTGGACTGAGCCAGCTCTGACTGGTGCTGTGGAAAGGGATCGGGTCTACCCTTCCAGTATTATATTCTCAAGCAAAAAGACTACTGTGGAGGCTCCAGGCAGGAAGCTTCTCATTATTTATATGTTAATACGTTTGTAAACTCATGTACAGTTTTTGTTAGAAATTCTTGATAGGACTCATTAACTGTAATGTTCAGATGAGAACACGTTGTTGGCCTAAAAGTTTAAAAAGAAAAAAAAAAAAGTCATGTAGCAAAAGCTTTTCCTCCCATGTGGCTAGAAGTATCTGTGGCTGTGCCAAGGCCAGAAGGCAGGCTCCGACATCGGCAGTTACTCTGGAGAACTCTGCATGGAAGTTATATTTAAAAAAAAAAAAAAAAAAAAAAGGCAAACAAAGTAAAGGTTGGAATGAATGGTTGTCTGCTCTCTGGCTTTCTCCCGTTCCCTTCCAGCTGCTCTCAGAGCTCAGAGTCACTCTCAGATGGTGGAAATACCCGACTGGGTAGGAGCCAGTGCAGCAGGAGCCGGAGCGGAGCGTCTGGGAGCGGTGCACACAGGCCACGCCGCGGCATTGCCTTCAGGGGAGGCTGCTGGAGACCCTGCTTCACCCACTGGCTTCGAGGATATCAAACCTTTGTACATGAAGCAGCAGTAGGGGAGCTCAGGTAGCCAGCTCTCTGGGGATGTGGTTGCCAATGTGGCTTCCCCGTGAGCTTAGCAAGTACTCAGTGATGTGCAGGTATGTTTAAATGATCTAATAATTAGTAATTTGAGTTATTTATCGTTTTTTTTTTCTAAAAGAGATGCCATCAATCCAAGAATCACTTTTGAAAAGTTTTTTTTTATATATATTAATAAGTAAAACAGGATGGGAGGAGGATTTGACGTGCAGAGCACACGCCTGCTGCTCTATTCAGTTTGTGAGGTATAATCTGAGTGGTTTTTTTTTCCTTTTCATTTTTGCCTTAGAAATACAAGGAATATCAACTGAGTTTCCTGAAGAATTCAATGGATAATTTAGTGCCAGGTGTTAGTCTTACTTTGCAGTAGAGGAATGTGAGCTGCTGAGTGCTTAATGCAGAGCTGTTCTCAGAGTGCTTAGTGAAATAGGTATTTAATTTTTTTATTTTTTTTTTAAGGCCATTAAGAATTTAATTTTTCAATCAGGAGTCGCTTTGCCACTTCATGTTGCAATGTTGGTCTTGCTTGTATTCAATTTGTTAGAAAAATCAAACTGCTGTGGACTTCCAGTAATATGTTTCTAGTATCTGCACATGAAGTTCTTAATTGTTAGTATTTGGGTGGATTTTTGTACTTTGGCTTTAAGCATCTTGGGAAATAACAAAGAACGTGTGAAGCTTCCGCTGGAAGTTCACTTGGTTGCCACAATGTCAAGCTGCAACTCTGAAATCATGGTTATACTGGAACTTGTCTCTTCAGGCAGCCTAAAATGCCCTGAAGTATGAAGAAGTCAAGCAGGACCTGATCATGTTGTCCTGTAATGGGGGATACTTTTTTTTTAAAGAAACATTCAATTATTTGCTTTAAATGAACTGTAAAGTTTTGATGAATATAAAATGAGACACGCAGAATATTTTTATTTGAGGTAATCCATTGAAAAAGGCAGAAGTATTGACTCTCTTTTTTTTTCTTGCCTTTTTATTGGCTGCTCTTTATCACAGCAGTTCTTCGTTGCGTTACAAAGAATTGTGTTTAACGAAGTGAAGTGCGGTCTTAGAGCATTTAAACACCTCTGCAGCACTGAGCAGGGAGAAGGGTGGGTGCTAGTGTTTGTGGTGTTGCTGCAAGGAGAAATGAAGACAAAGAAGTGAGGACAATGAGGTGAAGCCCTGGTGGGGCAGTGGGTGGATTCCTCTTGAGCAGCAGATGAAGGGACTGAAGGGAGGGTGAGGCTCCCGCTAAAGAGTCTGCAGAACTGGGGTGTGGAGGGTGCTCGGGGTGATGCTGATCCCAGTGGGTGTGGGAGAGGAGGGGGTGGGAGGAAGGGATGAAGGTGGGGAGGAAAGATGTGCTAATTTAGAGATCTGCTGGACCATCAACTAAATGAAAAGTAGTAAGTTGCCCAGGCATCCCAAAAGGCAAAGTATTTGGTGAAAAATAACACAGGTTCTGACTTCAGCGCCGTAACCCATGTTCTTGTGCTGGAGAGGGAAGTGGCTACAGGTGCTGTGACTCTTGGAAAGGTCCTGGGGACTGTCACTGCTGCAGAATGGATTTCCCCGATTGCTGTGGAGAGTTGTGTGATCATTCCGGCAGAAGATCTTTGTAAATTCAAGATCTTCCCTTTTTGTAAGGTGTGTCAGAAAGGAACCAGTTACACTTGGACGTGACAGCTTCAGGCTCCTTCAGGACAGGCTTCACGCAGCCTGTGTGGTCTGTTGGGGGCTGAAGCTCTTGTAAAGAACCTCCTTTCCTCTCAACAAAACCAGACTGATGTGGATGTCGTCACACGGACAAGTATTTAACAGCACAGGGTTAGAGTACGTGGTCGTTTATCTTGAAGGAGGCCTGTGGTAAATGAGCTGACTCCTCAAGGATTTACCCTGATGGAGATACTGTCCATCTAAGGAAAATGCCCTGGGTCTGTATCTCTCATTCCTTGCTTCTCTGAACCCGATGTACCCATGGACCAAACCCTGACTTACCTGTGGACCAAAACAAGGCTTGAGGAGTCAGGTTTCCTAGACAGGAACATCTGTTGGGAAGAGGAGCTCTAGAAGACTTCTCATGGGGAAATGTGGTCCCACTTGCTGGGCTGTGGAGAGAGAGAAGGAGTGCAGTGGGTTGGGATGGGGGCATTCTGCACAGCCATCTGTCTCTGAGCCGTGGCACCTGTCGAGCTGCTTGAGGATCTGCTGGTTCCTGAGCTTTGGGAGACAGAACTTGGCTGTGGAGGCTGGTGCAGTCCTGCTGGCTTGGCTTTGTCACCGCCTGTGCTGCTGTGTCCCTCTGAACACACGTGGCAGCTTGTGCAGCTGATGGGGGTATCTGTGCCTGAAGGGTTCCTGCTGGTGGGTTACATGGGGTGGGCTTGAGTCACCAGGAATGGGTGAGTATCTGCCTGGTGTAAATCAGTTCCAGAAGGACCCTGTGGGCTTCCATGACCTTTGGGAGGGTGGAGAAGGGTTTCTGTCACAGTTGCAAAGTGGCAAATCCAGCTGTTGTCAGGAACCCCCCGTGTTGCTGGTGGGGGCTGTGAGAGAGGGGTGCACACACCCTGGAAACACCATGAAGGGCTGATACTCCCCTGAGTGCTCCTTCCTGTCAAAGCAGGGTGGTATCACCCATCACAGTATCCAAGCCTCAATTCAGACCAATAAAGATCATGGATGGCTTAAGGAGCACAAAATCTGAAATCACGTATCGCAGGGCTCAGTGTTTCCCTTCTGATATTGGAGCCTTTAATACACCCATAAGATTATACTTTGAAGTTTTCCTCTGCTCATGGTGATTTAACTTTATGTAAAAGGGGCAGCTGAAAGACTTAAGTGCTTGCAGGTGCTGGGGAGAAAGTGTCAGACACCACCTTGGGGCTGGGAGAAAATGTTGAGAGGACAAGAGGAGGTTGGTGCTATTAAAGAGCTGTGGGCGGGGTAAGAGTAAGAAGAAAACCTTTATAAACTGCTCTGCTGTCCAAGTGTAGAAGATGGGAAGAATAAGATTTGGCAGGTGAAATGTAGGAAAAAAAAAACAACCACCAAACGAAAAACCAAAACCAAACAAACCCAATCTGCTGTCCAAGTGTAGAAGATGGGAAGAATAAGATTTGGCAGGTGAAATGTAGGAAAAAAAAAACAACCACCAAACGAAAAACCAAAACCAAACAAACCCAACAGAACAAAACCCCAAAACAAATAAAAAACCAACCAACAAAAAACCCCTAACCAACCAACAAAATAACAAACCCCAAAAGCAAAGTAAATCAAAGTGGAATATGAAGAATATTCAATTCATAGAACTTGCACAAATAATTTTGAAAACAAGAGGAGCAGGGAGACTGCCCGAGTCTGACGTGATGGACAGTAAAGGGAAGGTCTGACCTGAAGGTAAAGTCCCAGCAGAAGGACCCCAAGTGAATTGTTTGCCTGTGTGTTGGGTGGGAAAGCTCAACAGAGAATCTGTTAAAAACTGAAGTGCTTTCAGGAGAGATTGAAGTTCAGATGAAATGAGCAGTAACGAGTTGCTGGGACCAGACGGTGCCACCTACGGCTCTGAGGGAGCTCCAGGATGAGTGAGCCGAGCTCCCAGCTGGAGTGGTGACATCTCCCTGGTGCCACAGCAAGGGTGACAGCGGCTGCTGAAGGGAGTTTCGGGGCAGATGTGGCAAATCCGGGCAGGTGAGCACAGCACTGGCACTTCACAGATTCATAGGTGCAGCATCAATGGCTAAGAACTGGGGAGGAGTCAGTGCAGTTTTTGTAGGGGGAAGTCATGCTTCAAAACTCCGTTGGAATTGTTTTAGTGGCATCAACAAGCAAGGGATAAAGGGGCTTTGGTTGGGACAGTCTGCTTGAACTTCCAAAAAAGTGGCTTTGCTCAAGGCACTTAATGGGAAAAAAAACTGCTGTGGGAAAAGGGGGATATCATCATGTGGACAAACAGCTGTTTAAAACATGGGAAAGGAAGAGTTAAAGGGATGGGGTTTTTTTTGGTGGAGGGAAGTCAACAGCTGGATGCCCAGTATATTATTGGGAAAAAGTAATGAACCAGGAAGGTGACAACATCCACTGATGAGGTTATTCAGTGTAATAATATAATAAAGGCTGAGTGAAGAATTGCAGAAAGACCTTATGAGGCAGAATAGTAGATGAAATTCAGTGTCAATAAATGTGGTGTTGCTTATGGGAAAACATCAAAAGAAGAGCTCATGGCTGAGTATTTTCAATCAGCAACAAGACCTTTGGGTTGTGAAACAGTCCTGTAGAAATTTCTGCTTGGGGAACAGCAGCAAAGCAGGCCCAGGGACAGGATGGGAGAGCAGAGACCAGCACCAGGGCATAAACACTGTGTGCCTCATCCTGAATGTGGAGTCTTGGCTTTCCAAGACCCTTGTGAGGAAAGGGGAGAGGCTCAGGGCAGGGAATAGGATCCTTCCTGTTCCCAGGATAGGGGAATTCTGCAAAGCTACAACCACATCTTTACTCTCAAAGAAAGATGAGTGATGGGAAAATGAGGAATCATAGAACGATTTGGATTGTAAGGGACCTTTAAAGTTCATCTCGTTCCACCCCCTGCCCTGGGCAGGGACCCCTCCCACCAGCCCAGGTTGCTCCAAGCCCCCTCCAACCTGGCCTTGAATCCCTCAAGGGATGGGGGTTCTCAAGCTTCTCTGGGCAACCTGGGCCAGGCTCTCACCACCCTCACAGCAAAGAAGTTCTTCCCCCCATTTCATCTCAATCTCCCCTTTTTCAGTGTCAAACCCTTCCCCCTTGTCCTATGGCTCCCCTCCCTGATCCAGAGTCCCTCCCCAGCTTTCCTGGAGCCCCTTGAGGGACTGGAAGGGGCTCTAAGGTCCCCCTGGAGCCTTCTCTTCTCCAGGCTGAACCCCCCCAACTCCCTCAGTCTGTCCCCACAACAGCATCTTCCTGGCTTCCTCTGGCCCTGCTCCAACAGGTCCCTGTCCTTCTGCTGTTGGTGGCCCCAGAGCTGGAGGCAGCACTGGGGGGAGAGGGAGGGGGTGTCTTGCCAGAGCGGAGCAGAGGGGCAGAATCCCCCCCCTCGCCCTGCTGGCCACGCTGCTGGGGATGCAGCCCAGGGTGGAGGGGGCTTTCTGGGCTGCCAGCGCACTTTGCTGGCTCATGTTGAGCTTCTCATCCACCAACACCCCCAGGTCCTTCTCCTCAGGGCTGTTCTCCAGCCATTCTCTGCCCAGCCTGGATTTGTGCTTGGGGTTGCCCTGACCCAGGTGCAGGACCTTGCACTCGGCCTGGTTGAACTTCATGAGGTTGGCACAGTCCCCCCTCTCCAGCCTGTCCGGGTCCCTCTGGATGGCATCCCTTCCCTCCACGCAGCTTAGTGGTGGACACAAACTTTCTGAGCTTCTGAGAAGACACAACCACATCTCTGCTCTGGAAGAGAGATGAAGCACGGGGATGAGAGGATGGTCTTTAAGAGGGAGGATGCCGAGGGAACACCGATGCCGGTTTTGTCTCTAACCACAGCTGCCGGGTTACGACCGGGAGGCAGCCGGTCACCTCCCGGGGGTCCGAGCTGCAGGGCCTCTGGAGGCGGCGCTGGGGGGAGTTAACGGGATCACCCCCATCCGAGGGCGCCGAAGGAGGGAACCCACCCCCTCCGGGAGCCGCTTGTGCCGACAAGCCCGGCGCGGGATAGCGGCGGGACCGGGCGGGGCGGGGGCAGCTCCGCCCGCGGAG